AATCGACCCTTATTAACCTCGGAAAATAACATAATTTTTCTACAGATTTGCATATAAAACTGACACAACCCCTTTAAGCCATTTTTAACATTGAAAACTTTCCGGCTCGTCACTTTACATTGCGTTACTTTCGTTCAATCGTTTTACGTGAAGTGGCGTACTACTCTGTGGAAATCGCTATATCTCGAAATATATTTTCCACTAGTGTGTTCCATATCACGGGTGGAGCTCTATTGAGCCGAAAAGAGTAGGAGCAAATTCATCATGAGACTCTCCGGATTGCAATTTCAAGTTGAAATCAACAAACTCACTTCCGCTGATTCCTCCAATACTCATCTTGACGAATGGATCCGAGAGACCTCCAGGGTCCGATATAGGAAGATTCACTGCTTGGTAGAAGAAACCTCTTACGACGTACTCACGGACATCATATCTATTACAACAATATCATAAACAACAACAATATCATAAACAACAACAACATCAACATAAACAACAATATCATAAACAACAGCAATATCATAAACAACAACAATATCATAAACAACAACGATATCATAAACAACAACAACATCAACATAAACAACAACAACATCAACATAAACAATAATATTATAAACAACAATAATATCCACATTCTCCACATTTGCATAGTATCAAATTGGCACATACTATAATGAGAATAATTGACATTAGTATAAATCCCAGCGTTAGTGATATGATAGAAGTAACCTTTCGAGACTATGATAGCGACAAGTTGTTCACTATCATTAATCCCGGAATAGACAACACACATTCTACACATTTGCATAGTATCAAATTGGCACACACTATAATGAGAATAATTGACATTAGTATAAATCCCAGTGTTAGTGATATGATAGAAGTAACCTTTCGAGACTATGATAGCGACAAGTTGTTCACTATCATTAATCCCGGAATAGACAACACACATTCTCCACATTTGCATAGTATCAAATCAACACGCCAAATTCTCACGCCTTTCTCGGCGGTCTCGTCGGCAAAGGCTTGCATCCCGCATTTACTCCACACAGGACATGTGCAGCAACTTGATCCATGTCCTCAGGCACCGACAACATATACCTGCCAACAACAATGAAGTTCCACCCTCTTTACGTGAAGTGGCGTAAAACTCGGATGAAAAACGCGATATTCGCGGTGATATCCAGTAGTCGTAAAATATGTTTTTCATATCACGGGTGAAACTCCAATATCAACTTGACACGGTGACATTCGTATTATGTGAAGAGATAGAGTAGAGAATAACTGAGCATATATCAATAGGGAGAGCACAGCTCAGCTCAGTGTAATGGAGTGTCACCCGTTTTACGTGAAGTGGCGTGAAACTCCGTGAACACGTTTGTGGTTTTTTTCATATCGCGGGTGAAACTAGTAGTTTCAAACTACAGTGGAGTTTCACCCGTCATATGTAAAACATCTTTTACGATGACTGCATAGCGCGAGTATTGCATTTTTCGAAACATGTTTCACATCTCACTTCCTAAAAAAACGCATGCGAGCAATGAATAACGCGTAAAACTCTGCGAGTAGTTCACGTTAAATGGGATCATCTATCCGGTGTGATTCGCGCAGTGTTTTCAATCCACTTTATATCGCAAATATCGCGTTTTTCACATGGAGTTTTACGCCACTTCACGTAAAACGGGTGAAACAATCACTACACTAAGCAGTGTTAGGATGCATGCACATACTCGAGTGTACGTGTTGGTGACAATATGGAAATTCCGAGGAAATTTCGGGCAATCTTCATTAGTTTCTGTCTACTTCTACCCGAATTCGTATATAAACTCCCATATTTGCTAGAGAAACTCCTGAGCTCAGCTGAGGGAAGCGAACATATACTTCAACGCTGAGACTAAGTCCAAGCAGCTTGTCGGTGTACATTTTTTGCCAGACCACGTTGTTGCTCCACGTTTTTATCTCTGCCAGAGACAGTCTCGTGAAGGCTAGTTGTTCCCATTCATCATCACTAGCAGCAATCTTTTTCCCAAGCAACGATATGATCAGATCGAACGACTGACGAAACTCCGGTAAGAATCTAATAAAAGAGCATCAGAAAATAGGAGATTATAGAGCCGGCGTTAGAGTAATGGAGTTTCACCTGTGAGGTGAAAAACATATTTCACAAACCATACCGCGAATATTGCTTTTCTCACTGAGAATTGCACCACTTCACGTAAAATGGGTGAAACTCCATTATATTTCTGGATTCCTCAGCAGAGTTGAGGAGTTCTATTCAGGTATAATAATATGACTTCGTGAAGAAGTGTACAAAAACCAATAAAAAATTTCTTCACAGTTTCCATATTATCACCAGCACATGTCGTTGATCATATGCATATGTTTCCACACTCCCTAAGGTCGGACAAGTTCTCGATGGTAACTTCCAACAAATTAGGTTTTTAATAGTTTCCAAATTGGAATTTTCATTACATTTTTATTCACCTTAAATGATATTTTTATATTCAACAAATTTGAAATATTTTGAAGTAGGGCAATTCAAACTCCATATCAAAAAATGCATGTCCAAGACTCGCACAAAAAGTTAAAGTTGATTTTCGATCATTTCAACTGGAACACACGTATATCTAAAGCCTATCGAGGTGTTCGATAAACCTCTTCTGAGTATCACGACCGTTTCCAGTATCGAGTTTCACATATGAAATCAAAATCCCGAGCGCGCTCTTGAAGCTCAGGAGAGGTCTATTGGAGTCTCACGATCCGTTTTACGTGAAGTGGCGTAATACTCTGTGGAAAACCCGATATTCGCGGTGATATGCAGTAGTCGTGAAATATGTTTTCCACTAGTGTTTCATATCACTA